AGGCGTGAGCCACCGCGCCTGGCCTAATGACAGTTTTTTGAGGCCTGACAGTTTCCAGTTATTTTACATGCATTGTTTCAGTTAATCATCACAACTCTTTGAGATAAACACTGTAATACCCATTTTATAGATAAGGAAATGGAAGCTCAGAGAGGTTAAGTAACTTTCTTAATGTCACAATGTTCTAGTAAGTGTCAGGCCCTGTATTTAACCTAGACATCCTGACTGCAAAGCCCATTCTTAAGTGCCAGGCTGCCTTTGAAATGTTCATGTGAGTCATCTAACTGCAGACTAAATCCTACTGTGGGTTTTCTGCTTTATGTGGGGTTTCTTCATGCTGTTTTAGGCCTTTGCTCCTGAGCCCTTTTTACTCAGTGACTACTCATAAACTGAGCAAGAAAAATGGAAAGAGGTAGGCTTGTCATCTAAAAGATAACACTTGGCTAAGATAATGAGAAAAAGAAAGAAATGTAATAGAATGCTAGGATGGGTGGAGGAGAAATCGAGTGGGGCAATAGGTAGGCAAGGAATAAAGATGAGAAGGGATAAAAAGAGGCAGAAGGAATGTGGTTTCATCATGTGTTCCTTACCAGTATGCTGTTATTTTCCCCCTGATGTTCATACTTACCTTTTAACCTTGACATGTGGTACTTATTTTTGTATGCTTCTTCATATCTTTTTTGGAGCAAAGTAGAGTATGAACAAATAAGAAGTGAACTGGAGAGGAGAAGGGAGAGTCTAGCTGTTGCTCAGCTCTAGCCAGTTGCTACCACACTGGACTTTAGGCCCAAAAGTTCAGAGTTTCCCTTTTTTTTTCCCCCTGTTTTCAGAAGAAACCAAAACTATGAATTGTTACCCCCCAAATTCCCAGATTTTAATGTTATAAGCTAATTCAGATTTTTCTAAAAACAGTATTTGGCTTAAGCAAATTATACCTGTGGACTGTGTTCTGCTAGCCACTCATTTTCAATCTCTGCATAGGGTTTGTTTTTCTAAAATGAAAAATATAGTCCAGAATGGCAATATAAAGTCTTCATTGATAATTTTTTCCCAAGCAGTTGCCTGGAAGGGTGAGGACACTGCCGCATTGAGGATTGAGGGGTAAATGGGAGATGAGAGACGTTAGCAAGGCTTCACAAACACATGGTTGAAACGAGAGAGCAATTGTTAGATGGAGGACATGGAGGAAGGACAGTTACAGTTCTGTGGTGCATTTTTTACTCACATTCAAAGTCACAAAAACAATTCCCACCTTTGTATTTACAGAATATATTTGTTTAATGCTATGTGTGAATGAGCCTAACATTCTCTCCCCCCACCCCCAATTTTACAGCTGTTTTTTCACTTACAAAGAGAACGATCCTTTCCTGAACACAGAGCTAGGTTTTATGCTGCTGAAATTGCCAGTGCATTGGGTTATTTACACTCCATAAAAATAGTGTACAGGTAAAATTTTAAAATATTACTTGTAAAAATGTCTTTTTAATATTTTATTTCAGTTTATATTCAGTTTTGCTTTTCTTTCCTTTTAATTTGATAGAGACTTGAAACCAGAAAATATTCTTCTGGATTCTGTAGTAAGTGTTCTCTTTTTACTAGTTCCCAATTTTGTTGCTGCTGTTATGGTTAGTGTAAAAAAGTCAGTCTCAAAGGTTCCATGCTACATGATTGCATTTTTTTTTTTTTTTTTTTTTTT